GGGATTATTCACCTTCCTCCTGTTATTGCAGTTATCTGTGTGCTTGTCTTATCTCCCACACTGGAGCGTGAGCTCCTCGGGGGAGGAGCCCGCAGCACACAGTTCCTCTTTGAATCCCCCCAGCGTGGACCGACTCCGGCGCCCGCCTGCAGTCAGCTCTCCAGCAGGTTTAAGCGAGCTTGGGAGCACTCCAATCACACTTTTCCTAATCAGAAATTGGTTAGGCGTCTTTCTGAACTGAAGGCAGCAGAGATGGTATCTGCCTCCCTGTAACAGGAAGTTTACCAGGGGTGGAGCCCAGCATGCGGTGGAGTGATAATCTGCCCAGCCCACTCTTCCTTGATCTCCCGACGCTGGCCGGTTCTCCCCCCGCCACTAGCCCGGCCAGAGAACCGCGGGGGGATGGGATGGGTGGCCGGCCTGCAGACCCCAGAAGGCCCCGTGCCAGGGCAAGGAAGTGGGAAGGCTCAGTGAGGAGCCGAGCCGGGTGAAGCCGGCCTGCTCCGCACCCACCTGAGAAAATGGAGGCAGCCCCGGGCCGGTGACTGGCCCAGTGGGGTAGGCGGAAGCCAGACAGGCATCTGCTCTGCAAGCAGGGCCAGGCTGGGGGTCACTCACAGAGCTGAGCCTGTCGAGCAGCTCCCTCTCCGTTTCTGTGTTGTCGCAGTCTCAGTCCTCAGCCACTGCTGCCTCGGGCTGCTCACTCGGTCCCACAGTGCATCTCGGGTGCTCCCAGGAATCCTCTTTTATGCCGGCCCTAAACCTCGAGTCTGTAGTTGCTTTTTTATAGTTGTAGATTAGTTGATCAAAGACTTATTCATTTTTTGTTGCTCTCGTAAATGCAAGTAGCACTCTGGCAGCACAGCACACACCTCTCAGGCTCACGCCGTCTCCTGGCGGCCCCGCTCCTGACCCGTCGCCATCTTGACTCCCTCTCAAATGCTTTTTCTGTATCTATTGAGATAATCATATGGTTATTGTCCTTGATTTTGTTGATGTGGTGTTTCACATTTATTCATTTGTGTGTGTTGAACCGTCTTTGTCTCCCTGGGATGAATCCCACTTGATCATGGTGTATATTTTTTTGATGTGTTACTGTATTTTGATTGCTAGTATTTTGTTGAGGATTTTTCTATATTCATCAGAGATAGTGGCCTATAGTTTTCTTTTTTTGTTGTATCTTTGTCTGGTTTTGGTATCAAGGTAATGCTGGCCTCATAGAATGGGTTTGGGAAAGTGGCATCTGTTTCAATTTGGGGGAATAGTTTGAAGAGAATTGTTATTAATTCCTCTTCAAATGTTTGGTAGAAATCAGCAGCAAAGCCATCTGTTCCTGGGATTTTCTTTGTTGGGATACTGCTGATTACTGCTTTAATCTTGTTGCTTCTTACTAGTCTGTTTGGGTTTTTTATTTCTTCCTGTTCAGTCTTGGTAATTTGTATGTGTCCAGAAATTTATACATTTTCTCCAGGTTTTCAGATTTGTCGGCATATAGTTGTTTTTAGTATTGTCTAATGATTCTTTGTAGTTTCTGGTGTATCAGTTGTAATGTCTCCTTTTTTATTTCTGATTTTTGTTATTTGGGTCTTCTCTCTCTCTCTTTTATTTTTGCTAACCAAACTCCTGTTTTGTCTATTTTGTTTATCTTCTCAAAAACCTAAGTTTTTGTTGTTTCATTGATGTTTTATATTGTTTTTGGTCTCTATATCATTTACTTCTTCTCTGATCTTTTTTTTTTTTTCCTTTTTGTCTTTTTCGTGACTGGTAATGGGATCGCAACCCTCAGTGTCGCGCCCATACCGCGATNTGGTCTCTATATCATTTACTTCTTCTCTGATCTTTTTTTTTTTTTCCTTTTTGTCTTTTTCATGACTGGTAATGGGATCGCAACCCTCAGTGTCGCGCCCATACCGCGATCGGCAATGGGATCGCAACCCTCGGTGTTGCGCCCACACCACGCTCAACCAGTGAGCGGACCGGTCTCTATATGGGATTCGAACCCTTGGCGGGAGCGCCGCCACACTCCCAAGCGCCGCACTCTACTGAGTGCACCACTGGGCCGGCCCCTTCTGCTCTGATCTTAACTTTTTCTTTCCATCTACTAACTTTGGGATTGTATTGTTCTTGTTTTTATAGTTCTTTGACATGTAATGTTAGGTTGTTTGAAATCTTTCTACTTTTTTGATGTAAGCGTTTATTGCAATAAACTTTCCTCTTAGTACTGCTTTTGCAGTATCCCACAGGTTTTGATATGATATGTCCTTATTTTCTTCTTGGACTCATAGGTCATTCAGGAGCATGTTGTTTAATTACCATGTATTTGTATATTGTCTTGAGTTTTGCTTGTTATTAATTTCTTTCAGTCTATTGTGGTCAAAATAGATATTTGAGATGATTTCAATTTTTTAAAATTTGTTGACACTTGATTTGTGACCAAACATGTGGTCTGTCCTGTAGAATGTTCCATGTGCTGATGAGAAGAATGTATATTCTGTAGTTGTTGGATGAAATGTTCTGTAGCTGTCTGCCAGGTCTATTTGTTCTAAAGTGTAGTTTATTTTATTTGTTTCTAAGTTTATTTACATAAATAAATATATATATATATATTACTTATTTAGTTTTACATTCTATGATGTTTTGGAGCAGTTGGGGGGATAGGGCGAGGGCAAAGGGCAAGGAAATAGGTGGGAGAAGGAGGAATGAGGAGGGGAAGGGTTGAGGCCTGTGGTACCCCTCTCATTCCTGAGGGATACGAGAGGGCTTCCGGCAGTGGCTTGGTCATTGCTGGGGTGGGTGCAGATGTCAGGGGAGTGTGGCCGAAGCTCTCGCTGCTCCCTCTCCCCCCAGCTCAGGAGAGCCCAGGGAGCTTCCTGCAGCGGCTCAGTGGTCATCGCTGGGCTGGTTGTGGATGTTGTGGGGATGTAAAGTTTAGTTTAAATCCTGTGTTTCTCTGTTGATTTGTTGCCTGGATGATCTGTCCAGTGCTGAAAGATGGGTGTTCAGGTCCACCACTATTATCGTATTGGGATCTATTTATTTCTTTAGGTCTGATAGTATTTTCTTTATATACCTGGTTCCAGTGTTCCAGTGTTGGCTGCATATATATTTATGATTGTTATATCTTCTTGCTGGATAGATATCTTTATCATTATATAGTGGCCTTCTTTTTTGTTTTTATAGTTTTTGGTTTAAAATCTATTTTATCTAATATAAGAATAGCTACTCCTGCTTGTTTTTGGTTTCCTTTTGCATGGTATATCTTTTTCTGTCCGTTCACTATTTGTTTGTGTATGTCTTTACAGGTGAAGTGAGTCTACTGACAGCATACACTTGGGCCTAGCTTTTTAATCCAATCCATCAGTCTGTGTTTTTTGACAGGGGAGTTTAATTCATTGACATTTAGGTTGTTACTGAGAGGTATTGTCTTACTCCTGGCATTTTATGGCTTTTTGTTTAGATTTTTTAAATACCTTTTGTTCCTTTCTTCCCATTTTATTATTCGTCTTCAATGTTTGTTGGTTTTTGAGGTGGTAAGATTTAGTTTATTTTTTCCTTCTCATTTGCATTTGTGTTTTACCAGGGGGTTTTGTTCTTTTTTGTATATTTGTGATAGTGATTATTGTTTTTTGGATTCCAGGTACAGGACTCCCTTGAGAATTTCTTGGACTTGTCATGTGCTGGTGCACTCAGTGCACTCTTGCAGTTTTTGTTTGTCTGGGAAATACACTATTTCTCCCTCATTTCTGAAGGATATCTTTGCTGGGTATAGAATTCTTGGCTAGCAGTTTTTTTCTTTTAGCATTTTGAATATGTCATCCCGTTTCCTTCTTGCCTTTAGAGTTTAGGTTGAGAAGTCTGATGTTATTCTGATGGGTGCTCCATTATAAGTGACTTGGCACTTTTTTCTTGCTCCTTTTAGGACTCTCTCTTTGTCTTTGAACTTTGCCAGTTTGACTGTAATGGTCTCAGAGAGGATCTTTTTGGATGGAATCTGTTTGGGGATCTTTGAGCTTCCTGGCTCTGAAGGTCTGTGTCTTTCCCTATACCTGGGAAGTTTTCTGTTATTATTTCACTGGGTAGTTTTTCAATATCTTTACCTTTCCCCACCCCTTCTGGAATAATTATGAGTAATTCAGATGTTTGTGCACTTAAGGTTGCCTGCTGTCCCTCTTAGACTTTCTTCATTTTTTTAAAATTCTTTTTTCCTTTTGTCTGCCTGGATTATTTCATAAAGACCGTCTTCTTTTTTTTTTTTTTTTTTCCTTTTTGTCTTTTTTACTGACCGGTAANCGCGCTCAGCCAGTGAGCGGGAACCAGTCTCCACATGGGATCCGAACCCTCGGCAGGAGCGCCGCCGCACTCCCAAGCGGCACACTCTCCAGTGCGCCACCGGGCCAGCCCAAAGACCGTCTTCTTAATCAGAAATTTTTTCTTCTGCTTGCTCTAATCTGCTGCTTAAGCTCTCAGTTGTGTTATTTCATTGAATGAATCCTTCAGTTCCAGGATTTCTGCTACATTCTTTTTTAAGGTATTAATCTCTTTGTAAATTTCCTCCTTTGTATCCTGGATATTTTTTCTCATTTCATTTTGTTGTCTGAGTCTTCTCTTATCTCACTGTTTCCTTAAGGTTGTTACTTGGAATTCCTTTTCAGTCATTTCAGGGGTTTCCCGTTCTGTAAGGTCTGGTATTGAGAAGTACTACATTGATTTTGTGGTGTCATACTTTCTTGCTTTTTCGTATTTCTAGGATCTCTATGTTGATTTCTGGTCATCTGGTGGATCAGTTGCCTCTATTACTCTGGAGTGGACTTTTATGAGAAAGACTTCCTCCTCTATTTCCAGGCTCCTCTAGTGACTTTCCTTGTGTCAAAGCAGTCAAATATGTGGCAGGCCACCAACATGGTGGTTATGGTTGCTGTAATGGCAGCAAATTGTCCTTGTATTAGTAAAATCTGTGGTGGTGGCTATTATGGATCACCTTTGCGGAAGTGGTGCAGTATCTCCTGGTCATGGTAGCACTAGTGACTTCTGTGTGGGCGGGGTGAAACCTGCCCAGGGCTTTTCCCGCCTGGGCCTCCCGGTTTGCTTGCTAAGTAGTAAAAATTTAAGTAGAGGTCTGTGTATTAACGAACCATGGTTACATATTTCCAAGTTATGCTTTTTTAAACCCAAAGCACTCAGTTTACTTTGCCACCTGATGGATTTTTTTTCCTAATCCACCCGTTTACTTGACTTGCCACCTATTAGAGCCCATAGTGGTTTAACAACCATCTATCTTGTGTTGAACTCAAAGCTCTAGACTCCTGATATTGGTGATTGGCACCTCATTACCCATAGCTTCTGTGTGAACTGCCCACTCTGGTTTTAACCTCTGTGAATTTCTCGTAAGCTCAGCTATGCATTTGGATTCCCCCCCTCCACTAGTATTTACTTTGTTTTATACAAAAAGGGTTTCAGATTACCCAGTTGTCTGTATTGCTGGAAATGGAAGTCCTATAGATTCTTTATAATTTTGCACATTGTTACTCTGGATGATTCTGATTTGGAAACCTGTAGTATCTGGGCAGGTTTTTATTCCTAGTTCTGTCTGTTGTGTTTGGCTACTGAATCGTATGTATTTATTTGAGTATTGGTGGGGAGGGGGTTTTCATAGACCTGTAGAAGAAAATAGTGATAATTTCGAATGTTTCAAATTATACAAATGAATGGTTTCTTTCTGTACCAGGTAGTAGAACTGCAAAATAGATTATCTGAAGAAGCAAAGAAAGCAGATAAATTAGATTTTGAATATAAGCGGCTAAAAGAAAAAGTTGACAGTCTTCAAAAAGAAAAGGATGTGAGTATATGTATTAGGCATTTTGGTTTTGAGCATTGCTAAAATTGAGGCAGCAATATTTAATTCATGTTTTGACTACATTAGTTTCTTCTGTTTATGAGTAAAAAATTAGATATTTACTTTTGGCAGCTTGCTGGTACAGGGATTATTTTTAAATTACAGAAGATTCATTTGTTTTTCAGAAATTGATCTGAAATAAAAGATAAAAAGTGTGTTTTTACTTCTATTCTAATTTATTTTATGTATATTTATCTTTTGTATCATTGTTGCCTCTTTTACATTGTTCTGCTCATGACTTTCTATAGATTTATGTAGCTTTTCTGTTTTCTGTGTGGTTAATATAGAGGACACTTCTTTTTGTTGTATAGCATATTTTGAATCTTTAAAAATGTTTTTACTTTGTCATGATTTATAAATATTTAAAGTCTTTGTCCTTTGATCTTTAGTGTTTAATGAAAGGAATGTTAAGAAATTAGTTACTTATTGCTAAGGGTGAGTATAGAGTTTTGTTTGTCATGATTTTTTTTTTGGTGGGTAGCCTGTACAGGGATCCTTGATGTTGGTGTTACATTCCCATGCTCTAACCAATTGAGCTGTCCATCCAGCTTTGTTTCTAATGATTAACTGTGTATAACATATTGCTTTGCTATACACAGTTATGCACAAAGTAGCATATACACACATAGTACTGTATACACATAGTATTCAGTATTGTTAAATGGAAAAAATTGTCTTAATCTTTTCCTTTTTTTATGACCTTTCCATAAAAGATCAAAAGGTAAAACATGTCCATATTCACTATTGTTTATCATTCTGTTAGATAAGGCAAAGATGAATTTATGAGTAAATTTGTAAAACTTGAGGTTAACCTTCCTTGTTTTTATGTCCCCCCAGAGGTTGAGAGCAGAAAGGGATTCTCTGAAGGAAACCATTGAAGAGCTTCGCTGTGTACAGGCTCAGGAAGGGCAGCTCACTACTCCAGGTGAAAACATTTTAGTAGCCCAAGCAAGATGATTTATTTATAATGATATCAGTAAAAGGAATAGGTTTACCTTAAGATAATTGTACTAATAGATGAAAATGAAGAATTGGTGAATAGGCAATAAAATTGATATAAATTTTTCAACTGTTACTCAGATTTTAAGACAGATAGCTATAGTTGTGGAACTAGGTTTACTTGTCTACTTTAAAAAATATTTAAGGCTTTAAGTGTTATTAGGTTAAAAGCATAATAAACATTTGTGAAATCATCTGTCTTAAAGTTTTATTCTGAAAAATTTTATTCTGAAAAGTTTCTTATGATCTCTTTAAAAGTATATCAGACTGTCTAAATCAGTGTTTTTTCCAGCTGAGAAAAGTGAGGTGGGTATTAATCCATTAAGGGATGATCTCAAGTAGAAAACTGCCCTTTCCTACATGAAAGGGGCAGCACGTAGCTGAATGTGTACCCTTTACTACTTTGGGCTCCCAGTGGAGAACTGTGAGGACTGGTTGACAAATGACATGCAGCCTCATGGTTAGTTCACTCCCACACTACAAGACAGCCCTTGGCTTTTAGTTACCCGAAACTGGAATTTTTGCTTTCCTCTGACTACAGCCTCCTATTTTCTCTCCTCATTTCTTCTAACAGACCTGCTTGTCTACTTCATTTCACCTTCTAACCCCTTCTCTGTTGTCTCTATTAATCAACTCTCCTTTGACTATTTTCCCAGTTTATCCAGACTGCATATCAATCATTTTAACAGTATTGTCTTTCCTTATTCTCTTGACCTGTTTCTAGACCATGCTTGTCAAACTCTATTTCAGATAGCCTAAAGTTTTTTTTTCCCTCCTCTATTCCAAATTAACAAGGCAAGCTATAGAAAATTATATATGTTTCTCGATTGTCTTCACCAAAAATACATTATTTCTAATTATAATTTGATCCTCATTGCTTCCTGGCAGTTTTTCCAAAGTTTTAGGAATCTAACCTGAACCTCAACCCTTTTACTCTCAGCTCCCATATCATCTAGAAAAGATAGGCCATCTCATGTGAACTCTCATATTTGTTTCTTTGCTACTGTATGAGTGTGTGTGTTTTAACCTTCTTTATGTACATATCTTTTGACCTAGCAATTTTGCTTTAGGAATTTACCTTAATGAATTAAAGCATTGTTTCTAATAGTGAAATTTAGAAACAACCTAAAAGTTCAACAGTACAAGAATGGCATTCTCATTCAACTCTCTGCTGTAGAGCCATTAAAAAGCATGAGGTATATCTTGTATGAGGGTGCTTCAAAAAGTTCATGGAAAGATTTGTATTATCTTTTAATTCCACTTTTCCATAAACTTTTTGAAGTACTCTTGTATATGCCTGACACAGAAAGAAGCATATGTTATAAAAAAAAAAAAAAAGTGTGTGACACCATTCTTAATAAACTCTCTCAGTAAACTAAGAATAGAAGGAAACTTCCTCAACCTGGTGAAGGGCATCTAAGAAAAAAACCATAGCTCGGGCCGAGCCCGTGGCACACTTGGGAGAGTGCGGCGCTGACCTCATACTTAATGATGAAAGACTGCATGCTTTTCTCCTAAGATCAGGAGCAAGGCAAGATGTTCACGTTGCTGCTTCTGCTCAACATGGTATCAGAGGTTCTAGCCAGCGTAATCGGGCAAGAAAAATAAACAAAAAGCATCCAAGATTGGAAAGGGAGGATGAAAAAAAAAATCAAAGATCTAATCAATGAGTTCAACAAGGTCTCAAGATACAAGATTAGTATACAAATACCAATTATATTTCTGTATACTACCAGTGGACAATTTGAAAATGAAATTACAGTAGTATCAAAAAGAATAAAATGCGGGCCGGCCCGGTGGCACACTGGATGGTGCGCCACTTGGGAAGCGCGGCGGCGCTCCCGCCTGAGGGTTCGGATCCCACATACAGACCGGTTCCCGCTCACTGGCTGAGCGAGGCGCGGGAGCAACGCCGAGGGTTGCAATCCCGTTGCCGGTCCCCGGTCCGGTACGGGGGCAACACTGAGGGTTGCAATCCGTTGCCGGACACGGAAAAAGACAAAAGACAAAAAAAAAAAGAATAAAATGCTTAGGAATAAGTTTAACAAAGAAATGCATGACTTGTACACTCAAAACTATAAAACATTGCTGAGATAAATTGAAAGAAGATCTAAATAAATGGAGAGACATTCCATCTTCATGTTTTGGAAGATTCAGTGTACTTAAGATTTCAGTTATGAGCTGTATAGGTCATATTGGTCTGAAGGTTCAATGCAATTTCAGCCAAAATCTCAGCAGACATTTTTATAGAAATTGACAAGCTGATCATAAATTTGTGGGAAAGTATAAAGGAATCAGAATAACCAAAAAAAATCTAGAAAAAGTTGGAGAAGTCACATCCTGATTTCAAAATTTATTGTAAAACTACTTTGAGGCTGCATGGGACTTGCATAGTTACAGAGATCCGTGTAATACAGCATATTAATAGAATGCAGGGAGGCAAACACATGATCATCTCAGTTGATGCAGAAAAGGTATTTGACAGAATCCAGTACTCATTCATGATTTTTAAAACTCAATAAGCTAGGAGTAGAAGAAAATTTTCTCAACATGTTAAAGACCATATATGAAAAACCCATAGCTAACATGGTAAAAGACCAAAAGCTTTGTCCATGAGATCAGGAATAAGACAAAGATGCACACTCTCACCACTTCTATTCTACATGGTACTGGAAGTGCTAGCCAGAGCAGTTAGACAAAAGAAGAAAAAAAGCTGGACCTTTACCTTACACCATGTATAAAAGTTAACTCAAAATGGATCAAGGACCTAAACCTTAGAGCTAAAATTATAAAGCTTTTAGAAGAAAACAGAGGGAAATCTTCATGACATTGGTTTTGGCAGTGCTTTCCTGGAATTGATACCAAAAGGACAAGCAACAAAAGAGAAAATAGATAAATTGGATTTCATCAAAATTAAAAACTGTCTTGCATCAAAGAACACTTCCAATTTAGTGTGGGCAGTCCACAAAGTGGGAAAAATATTTGCAGATCGTACATTTGGTTGGTAAAAGATTAATATCTAGAATATATAAAGAATTTCTGCAGCTCAACAACAACAAAAGCCAAATTCACACATGGGCAAAGGACAAGAGTGGACATTTTTCCAAAGACAATATACAAATGGCCAATATGTGCGTGAAAAGGTGTTCGACATCATTAGTCATTAGGAAAATGCAAGTCAGAACCACAATGAAATATCACTTCACATCAATTAGGATAGTTATTAACACCCCCTGCCAAAAAAAGGGAAGATAAGTGTTGGCAAGGATGTAGAGAAATTTGAACCCTCGTGTATTGCAGGTGGGAATGTAAAATAGGGAAGCTGCTGTGGAAAAGTTTGATGACTCTTCAAAAAGTTACACATAGAATTACCATATGATTCAGCAATTCCATTCCTAAGTATATGAGGGTATTTTAAAAAGTTTGTGGAAAAACAGAATTAAAAGATAGTGCAAATCTTTCCATGAACTTTTGAAGTACCCTCATATACCCAAAAGAATTGAAAGCAAGGACTGAACCAGATAGTAGCATTATTCACAATAGCCAAAAGGTGTCCATTGAAAGATGAAGGAATAAACAAAACATGGTATATACATACAGTGGAATATTATTTAGCCCTAAAAAGAAGTGAAGTTCTGATAAATGCTGCAACTTTAAAACATTACAGTAAGTGAAGTAAGCCAACACAAAAAGATAAATATTATGTGATTCCATTTACATGTGGTGTCTAGAATGGGCAAATCATTGAGACAGACAGAAAGTAAGATAGAGGTTACCAGTGGATAGGCGAGGGATGAATGGGGCTTAATGGTTACAGGATTTCTCTTTGAGTAGTGAAAAAGTTTTGAGAATAGTGTCTTAGTCTGTTTGCTGCTGCTGCAACAGAATACCATAGACTGGGTACCTTATACGAGGGAGCTTCTAAGAGTTTATGGAAAGATTTCTATTATCTTTAATTCTATTTTCCATAACTTTTTGAAGTACCCTAATAAAGAAGAAAAGTTAATATGATTCACAGTACTGGAGGCTGGGAAGTCCAAGAGCATGGCGTTGGCATCTGGCGATGCATGTCATTTTATGGCAGAAGGATAAGCAAGGCCATGAGACAGAGAGGAAATCAGTCCAAACTTTACCCTTTCATCAAGAGCCCACTCCAGCGATAGCTAACTCACTCCCTAACCCACTCCCAAAATAACAGCATCAATCCTTTCATGACAGCACAGCCCTCATGACCTAATCATCTCTTAAAGGCCACACCTCTTAATGTTACAATGCCAATAAATTTTAACATGAGTTTTGGAGCAGACATTCAAACCATAGCAAATAGCAGATAGTGGTGATGGTTATGAAACATTTTTGCCGTTCAGTTGAGGACTTAAAAATAGTTAAAATGGGGCCGGCCTGGTGGCGCACTGGATAGTGCGCCGCTTGGGAAGCGCAGCGGCGCTCCCGCCCGAGGGTTCAGATCCCACATACAGACCGGTTCCCGCTCACTGGCTGAGCGAGGCGCGGGAGCAACGCTGAGGGTTGCAATCCCGTTGCCGGTCCCCGGTCCGGTACGGGGGCAACACTGAGGGTTGCGATCCGTTGCCGGACACAGAAAAAGACAAAAGACAAAAAAAAAAAAATAGTTAAAATGGTAAAAAGCAATAATAATATTGTAAGACTACTGAGACATGGTCTTTTACTTGTGAAAAACAATGATCTTAGCTGTTAATGTTAATGTTCAAAGTAGGGTTTCATTTAGAAATTGTATGGCTTAGGGCCGGCCCGTGGCTCACTCGGGAGAGTGTGGTGCTGATGACACCGAGGCCACAGGTTCGGATCCCATATAGGGATGGCCGGTTGCTCACTGGGTGAGCGTGGTGCTGACAACACCAAGTCAAGGGTTAAGATCCCCTTACCGGTCATCTTTTTAAAAAAAAAAGAAATTGTATGGCTTAACTAAAGGAGGTAGTTGTGCTTCTACTAACTGTATACTCATGTTTGTATATCTACAGGGCTAATGCCTCTGGGAAGTCAGGAACCTTCAGACAGTCTGGCAGCAGAGATTGTTACACCTGAAATCAGGTAAGGAGATTGTGATGTTCACAGTCATCTGCATAGTGTTCCCGGAGTAAACTTACTCCTCTAAAATCAAAAGAGGACCAGTTCCCTGTTCTTTATTACTGACACTTTCAATATGAACTCAATATTAAATTTCCATGTTTTCAGCATGTTAGAAGCTTTCTTCAACAGGCTCAACAGAGAATTGATTTTCTTGCTTCAGGAGGACAATCTATCACACATACAAAGCAAATATATCCTGAGCTTAGACATCCTCAGCAAACATTTAGCAGTGAGAACACTTAGTCCAAAGACAAAGGTTATGCTTAACTATCAGGTTGCAAAGTAATTAATTACTAAGACTTAGCTACTAACAAATGGAGTATTCTGGGAATGATAGAATGGTATAGATAGGAGGACATCTTTCCCCATCTCTACATTCTTCCCTAATAACGCCTTCCACTTGTATTTTGTCATAGCATTTAAAAATTACATTTATTTCAATACATACCTAGTTGTATGTAAAAAATGAAAAATGGGGTGTGAGGGGGTAGAGAGGAAGGCATCAAATGTCCAGCAGAAGAGAAGGATTAATCCTGAATGTTGCTTTTACCTTTTTTGGGCCTATTTGCCCCTTTTGAAAATGGACACCGGCTTTGATTATTCAGAACATCTCTTGAGGTATTAAATGAAATAATGATTGTGTAAGAGTTTTATAAACTGTAAAAGTTGAAAAAAGCATTCAGATACTTGTTGAATAAATGAAGATGATTTATTGTTGGAATTTACTAAAGAAGGACAAGAGGAGTATAATGCAATACCAAGTCTGGAAGCATCTTGTGTACCTGTTACTTTTCTGTCATCTGATACACTGCTTTATAATTGGATCAATAAAATTAGTTGAACAAATGGGCACTTATTACTTATGAATACTTAGAAATGGTTATGCTGAAAAAACAATTTTTAAGGAAGCTTATTGGTATTGCAGTTGTGTTTCTAAGCTAAGAAAAGAACAATGACAATGGTTCAACAAATATGCTTTTCTTCGTGTGACTAGACACAAATTAAAATGTGGTCTGTGTGCAGAAGAGCTGTGAAGAAAATGAATGATGAATGGGACTGGAAGGTCTGCAGCATATGTCACAGACAGTGGGTTAATATTTGATACTTTTCATTGATGTTAAGGGTGTGGAGAAATTGGAAACCTCATAAACAAGGGGTAAAAGATTAACGTGGTCAAACTTCTTTTGAGCAGATTGGCAGATTTTCTCTATTGTCTAAAAATGTACCCATTTTTTGACCCAAAATTTACTTTTCTGGGAATTAATTCTAAGGAAATAACCAAGGATATACACAAAGGTATATTTATTATATTTATAAAGCTGATCAGTATTAACATGTTAAGGCTCAGAATTGGTAACAATCTAAATACCCAATAATTGGGCATTGATTAAATAATGATTTATTACTATATTTTAGCACCATGTTATTTAAAATGTTAAAGTATAATATTTAATTATATGAAGAGCTGAAATTTCAAGTGCAGATACCAGGTACCAGTGTACCTAAATGTGATCCCATTTTTAAAATATGTATGTGTATATTTATGCATAGAATTAAAAGGCTGTATTTCAGCAATAGTCATTTTGCACCAATAGAGTTATGGAGGGTTTGTATTTTCATTTATCTTTTTTTCCCTATGATGAGTGTGTTGACTTTGTAATTGAAAAATATGACGTCAATATTGCCCATGTTCATAATATGTCAAGTTCTGTATAATTTCTTGAAGCGGGTCAAAAATTTGACTCTCATCTTCTCAGTAGCCAAAGTAAAAGTACTTTATGAGATTTTTAGTGTTTACAAAATAAGAGCAGATTTTTGTGTGTGTGTTTGTTTCTCATTCTGATTTGGTTTTTCTTTTTCCACGAGAAGCACAGTTTTGTATAGTATCTGTTATGCAATACTACTATCTTCATGGGGCCCTCTAAAGGTGACCCTGTATAAAGTAAGGAACGAATTATATCTTCAATAACTGTGAGTGCTTCATGTGAATTTATATTCAATTCTATCATCCCTACAGTACATACAGTGTCAAGTTCTGTGTGGTTATTGCTTTTAACATCCCTCAGTGTAAGCTTTTGGCGTAGCATGAGGAGCCCAAAGCAGTGCAGTCCAATAACCTGACTCTAGTAGTCTGACTGGTTCTGAGAATATAATTTTACGTATTTATAGGAATGGGTGGACTGCATATCTTGAAGGCAGTGGTCATTCAGTATAATATCTTGCCACCACACAAAGAAAAAAAAGAAAAGAAAATCTTGCTACCAAATGACTAGTAATTTAAGAATGTAGCATTAGAGGTCATGTTTTCTTTTGAGAACCAAAGAACAAATAAATAATGACATTTATGGGTTAAATATTTAAATCAGAAAGGAAATAGGATTTTGAAATCTCGTGCATTACAAATCATGATCTTTAGAGACTCTGTTGTCTTTAGATTATCCATTCTTATAATACCTGAAGAGTAAAGTCTTAGTTATAACAGAAGCGAAGTTCTTTGTTTTTCATCTCTATTCTATTTATTAGATCTCTAACAGTGCATACCTAGATTTTGAGACCTGTATTGTATTATTGTACCAGATAATCAGTTTTTATTTTGCATGTTTAGGGAGAAACTTATTCGTCTTCAGCATGAGAATAAGATGTTAAAACTTAACCAAGAGGGTTCAGACAATGAAAAAATTGCCTTATTGCAGAGCCTGTTGGATGATGCAAATCTGCGCAAGAATGAACTGGAAACAGAGAACAGGTAGATTGTACACGGGGCTGCATCCAGCCAGGGCTTTCCCTATTTGCTTTGATTTGAAGGTTTGAATTATGGTTTGAAAACTGATTACATACTATTGTATTTCTTTCTAAGAGTACTTTAATTTGTTTCTCCGCTTTTGGGCAGACTTGCCAAAAAGTGTTGTGCCTCTTTATAACAGCATTATCTTCTTTATTTCTTCAAGCAGAATGAAACCAAAGCCCACCACTTACCCTTTATTTTTTTCTTTTTCTTTTCTTTTTTTTTTTTTTTTTGTCTTTTTCGTGACCGGTAAGGGGATCACAACCCTTGGTGTGGTGTCGCCCACATCACACTCAGCCAGTGGGCGCACCGGCCATTCCGATATAGGATCCGAACCCGTGGCGGGAGCGTCACTGCGCTCCCAGCGCTGCACTCTCCAGAGTGCGCCACGGGCTCGGCCCACCACCACTTACCCTTTCTAATCACTGATTAAAACTGGAGGATTAAACACAAACCTGGTCATTAATTCACAGTCTTTCACAATAATTTCAATTTCTATTCATGATCAGGATAATAAAGTTTACCCTGTTCTCACAGACCACTGTTTCAAAGGATTCATTGATGTAGGGAAAGCTGTAGATTTCATCAAAATTGAATTGACAAAGCATTTTTTTTTTCTAATCTGTTAGTTATTGTGACCCTAAAGGGAAATGATTCATCTTAAGAACAAATCAATTATTTGGAGAATTTTTTAATTATTTTTTTCATTTGACCTTGTATAACTTTATTTTTTTTTTTGTAACAGCTTTATCAAGATATAATTCATATACCATACAATTTACCATTTTTTAATAATATGCATTACAATGAACTGTTGAAAACAATAGTGTTCTTTTTAAAAAAATTTTTATTGAATCATAATTGATTATACATATTTTTGGGGTTCAGCATTGGCATATTTTGATCAAATCAATATTACTAGCATATATATTGTTACAAATTGTACTTATTCTTTATGCCCCTTGTCCAATATCTCCCCATCCCCCTCTCCCTCCCCCCCCCCGCCACCTCTGATAACCCTAGATTTCTTCTCTCCTTCCAAAATAGTAATGCTTACTCTATTGATTTGTTGCCTAGATGATCTGTCCAATGCTGAGAGGTGTGTTCAGGTCCCCTAATATTATCATAGAGCAGATGCTTCTTCTGTCACTCTGGAATGGGCTTTGTGGAGAGAGACATCCTGTTCTTTTTTTGGTCTCTGCTGGTAACTCTCCTTGTGTCAATGCACTCCATTGGCTGGTGGACTATCTGCATGGTAGTTGTGGCATCTAGCTGCTTTTACAGCAGCCGTGATTATTGTATTGTCTGTGGTGGGCCACCCACACGGAGGTGGTGTTTTTGGCATGCTCCTAACCTAGTTGGTGGTGGTGATGGCAGTGTGCCTGGTTGTGGGAGGGAGTCCAGTCCCTGGGTCCATGCCTCTAGACCCCAGGCAGGCCCCATGGAGCTGGCAGTATGCCTGGTTGTGGGTGGAGCATCTGGTCCCAGCAATGGTGTTCTTAAGTATCTGAAATAGAAAATTCAAAACTGTCAGAAGAGATGCAGAAATGAAATAAAGAGAAAAAACTTAGGTCATCATGAGAAATGAGTTTTGATCTTGATTTCAATCTCCCATAACAAAGTCTGTCAAAAAATTGAATGATAATTACATATTTAACAAGTTGCACAAGACATATAAAGATTATACCCTAAAAGATTTACATAAGGTTAATATTTGATTAAATATTTACATGGTGCTTTGCAGAGACTGCTTAATAGTCTTTTTTTTTTTTTTTTGATTCTTTAAAAAGATAACAATATTTGCAAACCTTTATCTAGACTGACCAAGAAAAAAGGAGAGAATACAGAAATTAAAATCAGAAGTAAAGCAGGGGCATGGTAGAGCAGTTGCTTCTTCTGTTATGCTGGAGTGGGCTTTGAGGAGAAAGACGTCCTCTTCTTTTTGCAGTTTCCGCTGGTGACTCTCCTTGTGTCATTGCGGTTGAGTGTCTGGCTGGTCACTGTAGCTACCACTGTGGTGTTAAGCTGCTTTTGTGGCAGCTGTGGATGTGGCATGCTCCTTGCATGTCTCTCCATGGGGGATGCTGCCCTTGGCTTCTGCCTAGGATCCTGGGCGTGCTCTGTTTCTTGCCCGTTTCAGGCAGAGGGGTCTGTCCCTTGGCTCCTGCCTAAGGACCCTGGGCATGTATTTTGAGAATTTAGAATCTGTGGATTTAACATGAAAATCACTTTTCTGCTTGCAAGTTTTCAGCATATTACATTATATAGAGTTACTTTAAAATCAGTAGCTTACTCTGACAGTGGTTACTTTTACGTTTGTAACTGTCTTTTTGTTCTTCTCCTTTTTGGAAATGTTTCTTAGATACCAAATATACAGTGTTTTTCCTTTGTCTTAGTGCTGTGATATTCATTCTGTCATTTTTTAGGGATTTGACATTTTATTAACAGTTTTATAGTTTGCCTGATATTACAGAATCTTTGTATATTATGCCTAATTGATTTGGCAATTTCTAGGTGAGAGTCAATCTTGTGAGTCAAACTTGTTATGACAATATTGTTATGACAATATCTTACATTTCTTCCTAGATGAAATTTTTAAAGCTGCTGAGGAAGAGTCAGCAAACAGTATAAGTTGGTGTAAATACCACGTAATAGTAAGAGCATCATTAAGAATAAACAGAAGGAGAAACTTTTCACATCAATTCTTAGGAGCATAGAGTATTAGTGACTTTTTTATGTACTTAGAAGAAATGGAGAAGGTGGAGGAAGGGGGATTATAGGAACAGCTGCCCATCATGCAGTCCCTGTGGTGAAAGGGTCTTGTGTTCACTGCGTTAATCCTTTGCTTTGGGGTTGTTTTAACCATCTTAGTTGGGAAAACCTCTCCCTACCCTAAATTTTTTTTCAGTGAAATATGCCCCTAACGTCCTGTATAGTGCTTTACATTGTTTCTCACAGGCTTTATTTACAATTATGTTCTTTTCTCATGAGAAACAGAATAGCTAGTTGTCAATCATAGAGGATCAGTGTATGTAGATGACTAATGGCCTCACAACTTCCTGTGTTATCTACAGCTGTTAACAACTTAGTGTTGTGTTTGTTCCTCAAATTACAACACTTATGATAATTTACCTTTAAATTATGGCCACCTATGATCTATAGGAATAATAATAATAACAGCTAATATTTGTCAGGTGTCTACTTGCTCTAAACATTGTGGTTAAGTGTTTTAAATAATGTTGTCTTACTTATTTTTTTTTTTTTTTCCTTTTTGTCCTTTTTCGTGACCAGTAACGGGATTGCAACCCGCGGTGTCGCACCCGCACCGCGCTCAACCAGTGAGCGGACCGGTCTCTATATGGGATCCAAACCCTCGGCGGGAGCGCCGCCACACTCCCAAGCACCGCACTGTACCGAGTGCGCCACTGGGCTGGCCCGTCTTACTTACTTTATGAAAGTTTTACAGATGAGTGGCTCAGACCCAGGCAGCCTGACTCCAAACCCTCTATACCTAACCCATACCTTCTTTTGTGCCAATTTATCTTCCATGATGTGTTGGTTTGCCTCCCACAGATTTGTCACCCCTTTTCCCCTGGGTGACGGAGCCACCAAAGATTAGTCAAAGCCCATCTCTTCTGAGCAGTGAGAAGCCCCGAAAAGGGGTTAATCTCCCAGAACCCTCAAGAGAGAGGCATTCCTTCCATTTGGGAAATTAACCACGAATTGGGGTTCTCTTCCTGCATTTATTCTCCAGACCAGTAAGTTACAGGAAGAGAACATAGGTGGGGTTTTTGCTAAGTATAGTTTAACAAGTTTAACAATAGAAGCTGGTGACATTCAGGAAGACAAGCAAGGTGACATTCTACAATGCAGTTAAGTTGATCCACTAACAAAAGCTTGATTTTAGCAAACATTCTCTTCTTATAGCAATTTCCCAGTATCTTTACATATCAATCAGTAACCTGTCTGTCTTTCAGCCAGCAACCTTGCTGTGTTACAATTCTTTATCTTATAACAGAGACTGGGGAAAATTTCCTGTCCTTTACAAGGTCAATATTTGAAACTGCAAGGCTTTGGAAAACCAGGCCCTGTGAAGTACATTTGCTTTATGCATACTCCACAACCATGTTTGCAGACATTTGTTTTTTTCCTGTCTTCCTCTCACAAGATGTTTTTTCCCTTAGTGAATTATCCTAAGTTTGTTCTCACCAAGTTTTATAAGTGTTTACATTACCTTGTCTCCAATTTAATCTCTTACTAGTTTATAGCACTGGACTGGGCACAAGAAAACCTGAGTTTTAGTCCATTGAGTCTTTTAACTGTATTACCTTGAATACAGTTTGCTCACTGCTCATATATCATCTGTTAGAAGGCAAGGTAGACCTCCAAAGTACGTTTCAATTAGTTTTCCCAATGAGTTAGCATTTTTTTTTTTTAATCAATAATACCTGCTTACCCTCAAACAAAATTGGGAGAGACATGAAGGACTGAGAGTACAGCCATATCAGAATTGCCCAGGGAGCTTTCTCAGGTACCCATGATCTTGTTCCCTTACCTCTCAGAGCAGATTGTGGTCTCAAGCCCACCCTCTCCCTGCATCCTCTTTTTTTTTTTTTAAAGATGACCGGTAAGGGGATCTTAACCCTTGGCTTGGTGTTGTCAGCACCACGCTCAGCCAGTGAGCGAACCAGCCATCCCTATATGGGATCCGAACCCGTGACCTTCGTGTTATCAGCACCACACTCTCCCGAGTGAGCCACAGGCCGGCCCCTCCCTGCATCCTCTTGATAACTACGTATTTAGTAACTAGACTTAGATTAAAATGTTAACTAATTAACATTTAGGAGGAGAAAGAAGGTAGAGACAATGCATATTTATATTATCCTAATGTATACAGGTACTGTGGTAGACATAAAGTCATACATGAGGGGTCTTCCAAAAGTTCATGGAAGGACTTATATTATCTTTTAATTCAATTTTCCATGAGCTTTTTGAAGTACCCTTGTATTATCTCATTTAATCATCTGAACAACCCCATGAGATAGGCATTATAATCCTTATTTATTTTGTAGATGAACTTTTTTCGTATATATTTACGTATATTTGTGTTGCTCACATACTTCATACTTGAACAGCTGCATTACTGTGTTTGCTTGTCCATTCCCCCTTTCTGGGTGTTGAGTTGTCTTCGTGTCCCTCCAATGAACGTCTTGGTATATAGACTCGTGTTTTGTGACAGTCATAGTGGCTTCAGCCTAACAGGCTTACAATATTAGTTGATGAAATAACCTCAAAAGTGGCTAAGATGGAGACAGTTGAAGTAGTCTCATAGTTGGATACACATTTTTCATATTCTTTCTGAAAAGATTAAACAACATTACAGTGTCACTAATGTATTTATGGACCTGTGTCCCCATACTGAACATGGATTTTCAGATAATTTATTTTTTCATTACTCAGAAAACACTGAGATTTTCTTTTCCTTGATATGAAAAAGTTATTATTATAGATTTGGTTGAATTTTTGCTGTGATTCTCTCTAAATTGTAGAACCTAGAATGTTTGTAATTTCTTAAATTTGTGTAGTACAGAAAAAATTTTTACTGAACTTTCTGGCTGTTTGATTTCTAAACACTGACTGCCCTGTTTTGTCCTTAGTGTGGGACAGTCTGGTTTCTATAACTACCATTTCACTAAAGTATTTCTTACTGAAATAACCAGTCATCTCTTAAATGGCCAGTCCAGTGGGAACACTCAAGAGCTTTCTTATTTTTCCTCATCTGTTTATTATATTTAATGCTCAAACCCCCTTCAAACTTTTTTTGGCTTCAGTAACACCCCTCTCTTATGTTTCCCCTAATTCTCTTCAGGGTGAGGTTCCTCTTTCTCAATCTTTTTGCTTTCTTTCTAGACAGTGTAATTTATGCTCATGCCTTCAGTACTCCAAATGGCTCCCAGATCTGTGTGTTCAATTCAGCCTTCTCCCTGTGCTTCTAGTTCCGATATCTGGCTGTTTGACAGGCGTTTTTAGGCACTTCATTTTCAACGAGTACAAAATCAGATACTTTATATTTCTTTCTCATCTTGTTCCTTCTGTCGCTCCTTTCTCAGTGAGTACCAAAATCCTGTGTTAATTTGGGTTCCTTGGATTCTTTGGCCTTTTCTTTAGACATGTTCTCTACCTCTTCTACTTCAGGCATATTTGGGAATAATAATTGTGTAATAGCCTCCTCCTAGTCCTCATGCCTGCTATTTGACCTTTTAATAACCTCTGGCATTCTAAAACCAATGTGATCTCTCTAAAATACTGTCTGATCACGTTTTTCCCTTCTTGCAATCTTTCAATATCACCCAAGACCGAGGGAACCAAACTGGTCTACTTAATGATGCATCATAATGACCTACAGAATTTATGAAGGTCATATCCTGGAATTGGCATTCTTAAAGATTGTCTGGGTTATACCAGTTTTAGCCAGATTTGAAGATTGTTGATTATAAGACAAATTGCAGATACTTTGCATTTTATACAGTGGGTTGTTTCATCTCCAGCCATTCTTTCTCTCATAACTTATTCTTCAGCAATATCTTTCTTGAACTCATTGTATCCTCTCATTTTCCATGCACTTTGGACATGCTGAACTGTCGTGAATCCCCTTTCCACCCTTAATCACATTAATATTTTATTTATTGTTCTAGTCTCAATTCAAGTCAAGCTTACTTTACCTTCTCCGCAGAGTTATTGCTTCTTTGAGCAGTCATCATTTTTTTGGTATACCTCTTTGCACTATGTTGAATTATTTATCTCACTGTATTTTATTCACATTTTTGCCTTCTCACTAGACTGCAAATTCCTTGAGTTCCCGGGTCTTTTAATGCTAGTGCCTGACACATAGTTTTCATAAACATATATTGAAGTGGATTTCAAATAAATAAATATGCATAAGTACATTGGTTACAAAAAATGTGTCCACCAAAACACTACATTGGAAGTCATTATTAGAAATTTCAAGCAATATAAAAAATAAGCAGAAAAGTGAGCTGCTCCTCATGACACAAGGCTACAACTATACAACCACTACTGCTATATACTACTATTACTATAATATGAGGCTTTATTTTGTTAATTATACTGTCTGTCTAACCAATAAGACAACCTAAAGGAAAAAGGTGTAAATAAGTCAGTACTTGGAAAATTAATGTACATTTGATTTCTAGGCTGGTGAATCAAAGACTTCTGGAAGTACAGTCACAAGTTGAAGAATTACAGAAATCTTTACAGGATCAAGGGTCAAAAGCAGAAGATGTAAGTCTTATGCACCAGCCATGGTTCAACAGTTTTACAATGTTGAGAAAAGCTGTAACTTTTATTTTTTATTTGATGGACTCTATCAAAATAATTTATCATTATATTAATTATAGAAAAGAAACTGTTCTTTTAACTAACTTTGCTTAGAAAAAGAACTAGACAATACTTTATTATCTCTTTCTTATTTACTATACTGGGAATTAGTTCATTTCTAGTTATCAGCTAAGGAATTAATTGAGGCTTTATGTTTTAAATATGCTCAACTCAGTATCGAAAGGCAAAGTATAGAGTTTTTCCCCTCTGATCCCCCCCCGCCCCCAAAAAAATGCCAGTGGAAACTTAGCATGTTCAAGTAAAAATTTTTACCATGAAATTGATATTTAAGAAAACAGTGCCATGCCTAGAATCCCATTGTCTCTGTTTCTGAATCCCACATGCTCCTCCCCTTCCCCACACTGATCTTTCTCTGTGTTCCCGTAGCACTCCGCATGCCTCTGTCACAGCTCTGCCTGCCCGACTGGCACACTCACTTGGAGTATGGTAAATGTGTTGAGCCAAGGACCGCATAGTAATCAATCTGGCAAAAGTGTAAATAAGTCATATTTTGTGAATCCTTTTACATTTTATGAGAAGTATACAATGAAGCTAAGACTTATAGTGTAAAGAGGGAAAAGTGCCTAAATTTTAGTTCCCAGTCCTTGCTTCAACCAGCCATTTTGTTTTTTTCCTGTTGCCAGTGTAATTTTCTATAAACTCTGGCTTTTGATCAACTTTAAAACTATAGATATAGTGAATTCCATCCAACCTTATTAACATAAGAGGGTTTTAAAAACAAAAGGAATCAAAGAAGGGGAGTTAAATATATTACTTAAAATTTGATAATATTAGATATTAAAAAAACTCAATCAGTGACTTAATCAGTTTTTCTGTAAACATACATCTAATTTGTATTGGCAACATGTCTTTCTTTCTTAGATTGTTGATTTTAGTTTATCCCTTAACTAATGTATTGGTAGTTCTTTGTAGATTCCCAGATTGATACCAATTCCTAAAATTGTCACTGTCCCAACCCGTGGGATATTCAACAAGGACCCTGGAGGGGGGAGTGGGAATTGGATGGGACAAGAGACACGAGAAATGGAGACAAGACAGTATTCTGATCAAGTCTCATTTATTAGCCAGAAGGTCACAGCTTATATAGCCAGCAGGAGGGAATCAGCAGATAAGGAAGTGAGCGGCAGATGGTTTACTGAGAAAACCGCAGGGTGGGTTGTTCCGGTAAATGGAAAATTCCCGTTATCTATGGCAAGTTGCAAAGTTACCTACACCCATAGTGCACAGGAGGGGGAGGGACGGAAGATAACAGCAAACAAGGCTCTGAGGCCTCGAGGCAATAGCTGGGCGGGCTCTTTGGCTCCAGACAGGCAGGCAGCCGGGCTCTATGGCTCCGGACATGTCACCAACATTTAAACTACCTTATGTCCTTATTAAAACGGAATTAGTTTAAAAAGTCATGGTTTTTTTAAAAAAGATGTTTTTATCCAAAATCTAAATCAATCACAAAGAGGTGAGGCAAAACCACTGTTAGTGTATTAAACTATTCTTAAGCCTAATTCAGAGTGAACCAAAGAGAGTAACATTTCTTAATTCAGTGAAATCATTAGGTCCCTTAAGCTGAGATAAATGTAAAATTCATTCTGGTCTCTAAAATTTTGTCATGTTAGGGAGGGGAAGGGCGTGTCCTACATAGGAAGTAAAATGACACAATATCGATATCAGCTAAACTTTAGTGGTATAGTGGTGAGCATTATGCTTGGTTCTCTTATATTAAAACGTAAATTAAAAATTATTCTTTAGGGGCCGGCCCGGTGGCGCACTGGATAAGTGTGCCGCTTGGGAAGCGCGGCGGCGCTCCCGCCCGAGGGTTCGGATCCCACATACAGACCGGTTCCCGCTCACTGGCTGAGCGAGGCGCGGGAGCAACACCAAGGGTTGCGATCCCGTTGCCGGTCCCCGGTCCGGTACGGGGGCAACACTGAGGGTTGCGATCCATTGCAGGACACGGAAAAAGACAAAAGACCAAAAAAAAAAAAGAAAAAAAAAATTATTTTTTAAAAAATAATTTGGCACAGCTTGATTAGGTATCACCGTGGTAATTAAATCTGACTCAATATTTTGTTGGCCCTTACTTTAAGAGAACATATTTCAGAAATGACATGTCAGCCCAATCAAGTACTATTCATAAATTAGTCAATTTAAATGACTGCCCAGATCCTGAGATGTCTTGCTCTAAACTAAGGAGAGATTCTCTCTGAACTCTTTTCTATATGTAGGGAAGATTCAGATAGAAAACTACTTATTCTGAAACTATGCCTCCAAATGATTTGGAGAAATACTCATAAATAGTGCAGTACAGGATATGTAGTTCTTTCTCCCAGCAGATTTTTGATGTCTCACTTTTGTCTTTCATTAACCTGCAGTGTTGCATCTCAGGAATATGTAATACATAGAGCAACCTGCCAAATGAAATTGGTCCCTTCTAAGAATGATGACATAATTTCTGCCTGTTTCTACTATCAAAAGCACAGTCCTTTCATGTTACCTGAAGTCAGAGTAGGACAGTTTGCACATTTTTATGTCATTTGTTTTTAGTGTAGAAGCAGAAAAGCATTGTTATATCCAGTCATGTGGATATTTTGAGCTAGCCATGGTATATAAAACTCCAGAGAACATGACAGGATGAAACCATAGAAGAAAGAAAAATTTATACTTCTGAAGGGAAAAAAAAAGCATATCTTTTACTTCTGTTCATGAATTACTAAATTGTTCCTTCTGTTGGCTGCTGTGTTTGCTTCATACTAATATGTCCTCTCTGTCTTTTGGCATGGTTTCTGCTCAAGGCGATTGTAAGTATGGCTTCCTGTTCATTTCTATATGTTGAGCAGTTTTTTAGATTTTTATATGATCTGCCATCATAGTTGATGATATTGAAATTTTAAATTAAGGCAATTTTATGTAAAATGAACATACCAATATAACTCGTCGTATAGGCTTATGACCTCACAATTAAGATACTGAAAGGATATGAAAATCTTAAAAAGTCAAACCAGAGAGAAGTCTGCTTTTCTTATTTCCCCATCCCTTTCCTACTGTACTGCATTATTATATTTAGTTCATTTATATAAATTATTGTGATGCTAGCTTTCTGTCATGGTCTGGCCACCTTCTGCCACATATTTTGATAGTTGCAGTCTTCAGTTTGGGGAGGCATGGCAGTGTAGAAAGCATGGAACTGAAGCCGTGCATGGTCTTTGGAGCCTGGCAGACCTGGGTCTTAATTTTGGATCTGCCACATGTGAGCTACTAAATGTTCTCAGCCTCACCTTCCTTAGCTGTTAGATGGGGCTAATACTACACACAGTGTTGTGAGGTTTACATAAGAAAATGTATCTGACATGATTTAGTGCAGTGCCTGGCATATTAACCACCCATTTAATTAGTTGATTATGTATTATCTCAGGGTTAAAATTAATTTTGCTAGAGTCTGATCAAAACATGAGTACAAGTTAAAGTTAAGGTTTTCTAGAAGTATTTACATTTTATCCTCTGTACTAAAGAAGGAACAAGCAATAATCAAAAGTTAATAGGGTTATTATATTTTTATATATTTGAGGGAAGCAGTGATAGAGGACCTTGCAGTCCAGTGATCTAGCTATAGTTAGCTATAGTTAACACACTGAGCAAAGAAGTGAATTCGAAATATTCCAGAGCTGTGTTAGAATGGACTTGAATCAACAATTATGGTAATCATTATCAAATAAGGCAACTTTGTGGCTGCTGTTGACCAATTAGTTTGTTTTATAAGCCTTATTATTTGAGTTTTGACTGAATTATGTAGCCATTTATCTCAAAATATTTCATAAAATTTATTAATAATATGTTCTTAATTATGAAACTTTGTGGTCCTGTATAGAATGCCTTTATTGTTTATTTTTAGGTCAATTTTGATCTCCCGCTTTTCAGATTTTTTTTCTAATACCCAGTCAAAGCTTCATTCTCCAAAATAATAAAATCTGTGCATATACCATCTTTCACATTCTCATACCATTGCATAAATTATTTGGAGTCTATGTATATTCATAAATTACTGATTAAATCAGTATTTATGGAAACTAATCCAAGACTATTAAAGAGTATTAAACTGGGGTACATTGTGCGTTTTAAGTTTTTGACCAAAGAAATTACTGAGGGTGCACTCACAGTTAGTTACTACTATACTCTTAATTTTTTAAAAATAATTTATTTGTTAAAATGTTAAGTAATAAACTAAAATTTATTTTCCATTTTCAGTCGGTTCTTCTAAAAAAGAAGCTTGAAGAACATCTGTAAGTATAAAAGCCATTGAGGCTTATTGTGAAACGTAAGTGCTTTATGTTTGCTGGCCTCAGAGTGTCTCGGCAGTGGCAGAGGTGGCCCTTGAAGATACAGAGAACTGCAGTGCCTGTTAATAGTGTCTAGAGGGTCATCTCCACCAAAGGTCCCCAAGGCAAAACAATGACAGCTTTAGACTGGTTTTCTCAGGGTGGCCCTTGAAGATACAGAGAACTGCAGTGCCTGTTAATAGTGTCTAAAGGGTCATCTCCACCAAAGGTCCCCAAGGCAAAACAATGACAGCTTTAGACTGGTTTTCTCAAATGAGACTGGTTAGAATGATTTTCTCAAATGACCTGTGTCTAAATCACAGGTCAGAAACCCTTTTCTATAAAGGGCCAGATAGCAATTAGTACTTTAGGCTTCACAAGCCATGGTCCCTGTTCAACCATTCAGCTCTGCAGTTGTAGCCTGAAAGCAGCCTCAGACAATACATAAACTGATGGTTGTGACTGTTCTGATAAAACTTTATGTACAAAAACAGGAAGCAGGCTGGATTTAGTCCACAGTCTGTAGTTTGCCAGCTCTAAAGTATACTAGCCAAATATTCCTTTTCAGGTAAATTTTAAAGTACAAAGGTTGTCAGTAGTAGGTTTTAAAGTATTTCCTTGAATTACAAATAGTTGACTTTTTAATCTAAAAGATGAAATAAATTTTAAATATTAGTAATTGTTTTCTCATGAAAAAGAAATTTTCATCCATTTTTAGCTGAGGTTGGCATGTTAGGAATGTTTCATAATTTTTCTTGCACCCCATAAGAACCTTAAGTCTTTCTATCACTTTCCAGCAAAAGTCCTTGCAGGCATCAGACATCTTAGTACTACAGAGATAATTTTGACTTGTTCTACTATGATTGGAAAGAAATTCTGTTGTCTGACAGTGCCTCATGCTTTCTTTTTTTTTTTTTTTAATGTGGGGACATGAGATACTCCTAGTAACTATGAATTATTGGCAAATCTAACAATGGGAAAATTCTAAATGTCCTAAAGAACAGGAAATGTTACTTCCCAGCCTCTGTGAGGTCACCTAGAATGAGTACTAAATTCTTTTTTATTTCCCAATCCTTTATTGCAAAAGGTAGAATACCTGTCATTTCATAAAACTGCTGCCTAACCATTGTTCTGTGTTCAGTCATTTACATAGTAAAAAATACTCATCAGAAAGGATTTATTAGTGAAGATGGAGCTTATATTAACTTCCTGTGGCTGCTGTAACAAATTACCACAAACTGGGTGACTGAAGTCAACAGAAATTTACTCTCTCACAGTTCTGTAGGCTAGGAGAAACCAATCAAGGTTGGTTTCTTCTGGAGGTTCTGAAGGAGCAGCTATTTTATGTTCATCTCCTTGGTTCTTGTGGCTGCCAGCAGTCCTTGGTGTTCCTTGGGTTGTAAACATATCACTCCAATCTCTGTCTCCATTTTCACATGGCATTCTTTCTCTGTATGTCAGTGTCCTCACATGGCCTTCTAATAAGGACACCGGTCTTTGGATTTAGGGCCCACCCTGATCCAGTAAAACCTTATCTTAGCTAATTGTATCTACAGAGACCCAATAATGTTTCACTCACAGATACTAGGGATTAGAACTTCAACTTATCTTTTTGGGAGACAGTTCAACCCACCCTAAGGCCCATGGATGTCTCAAAAGATGGTCAATTGCATATAAATTTAAAATTGCAATAGAGACCATTTTACACACACCAAATAAGTAAAAATTTTAAAAATCAGACATACTAAGTATAGCTAAAGATGTTGAGCAAGGGTAATTCTCACCCATTGCTGGTAGGAGTACACATCAGTTTACTTAGTAAACTTAAACATGCACATATTTCTGTGACCTGTCAGTTCCACTGTATGTACTCTAGATTTCTAGAGGTGTTGTCGTCCTCGTGTACCAGGAGACATGTAGAAGAAAGTATGGGAGAACATTGTTTGTGTTCTTCCAGAAAAGTAGAAACAATAGAAATGTTCACCAATTGGAAAATGATGGAATGAAGTATATTCAAACAGTAGAACACGAACAGGTGGTAAAAATGTGTAAATTAGGGCTAACACATCAACATAGATGAATCTCGAAAACAATGTTTAGTAAAAGATGCTAATCAGAACAATACGTAATGATTAATGTATAAAGTAGAAGCAATATATTGTTTAGGAATAACACACAGACAATAAAACCATCATGAAAATCATTAGAATGATAGAAATTCTGGATTTGGAATATCTCTGAGAAAGGGATAGAGACGTATGTGATTTCTAAGGTTTGGGGATGATTTCTGTTTCTTACCCTGGTGGCGATTCATGGGGCTTTAAACTGTATATATCGTGTATGTTCTTTGTCATATGTCACACCCTCAAAAAAATTTATTGAAAAAGAAAAAGATTTATTAAAGGATTATGCATAGGAAAGATCAGAAATAGACATAGGAAAGTGCTCTATTTTTTATTAGTGTTTTTGAATATCTTCCAATTTTTGCAGCCTTTTTCCTACTCATATTACATAGTGCCTCGCTAAATACTATAAAGGGAGAATTGAGCACAGTATATAAATATCAGGAAAAGAACTTGCTTTCTCTTAGTTCTTTCTTTTGCTTTCATATTCCAGTATAAAGGTAAAAAGTAAAGTACACATATCCTAAGTTCCTAAGGGTACAGATTGGTAAATGTGTCCCTACATACATGGGTAACCCAGATTGACACATGGAATATTTCCAGCAACCCGACAGGATTCTTCACTCTTCCTCCCAGTTCATTGATTACAGCCCCAAACTAGCCACAGTGCTCATCTCTATCACCTTTCATTAGTTTTGACACTTATCAACTTATAAATGTAATTATACAGTATTATCCTTTTGACTTCCTTTGTTCAGCATTATTCGGTGAGATCTATTCATGAAGTTGCATGTATCATTAGTTTATTCTTTTTTATTGACCTGTAGTGTTCTTTCTGTTAATTCTTTTTAGAACTATTTTTTGCAACAAAATTTTGCATGGTAAGCTCTCTGCAAAGTTTGAAATTTAATTTTTATAATATCCTTTTTTCTAGAAAAAAATAAAGATCTTTACCCTCTCATGCAGGTTTATGTAAAATAAAGGAGTTTTCAAGCAGAAAGAAAAAAATTTTGTTCTTATTTTTTACTTATTTTAAAAATGTATTAAATTCATGTTGGTTTAGTCTTTTCATCCTTGTTTCATAGCACTTGTGTGCAGTGCAAATACATTCCAAGTGCAAAGAACTTAGATCTTTCATTTGAAGTGGAAAAAAAATACAGAAACAATAATAGGTGACACAGTATTACATTTTATTACAGAGAGAAGCTGCATGAAGCCAATAACGAATTGCAGAAGAAGAGGGCCATTATTGAAGATCTTGAGCCCAGATTTAACAACAGCTGTGAGTTTTTTCTAATTAGCATAGTTTTATTTATTTATTTTGTGTGGGAGGGATATATTTTTTCATACTTATTTATTTGTTTATTTTTATAAAAGATGACTGGTAAGGGGATCTTAACCCTTGACTTGGTGTTGTCAGCACCATGCTCCCCAACTGGCCATCCCTTTATAGGAATCCGAACCCGTGGCCTTGGTGTTATCAGCACCACACTCTCCCAAGTGAGCCGTGGGCCAGCTCTTATTTATTTTTTGTAATCATTAACTTTTTAAAATTTTTTAATCTTTTTTTTTTTTTTGGTTATGAATATTCATGGGGTATAAAGGTGATTGTCACCACTTGTGCCCAAGATGTGATGGCCAGATGAATACTGGCAGCATAATTAGCATAGTTTTAAATGGATTAGCCATGCACTACCCTACTGATAATGAGTTTATATAAAATTTTTATTTTTTAGAAATAGGCCCTATTACATATTCTAGCAGTGAAAAGAATTTGCCTTATTTATAATAAAAATAAAATAAATCTTTATATTGTCTTAAATTTCTAATTATAGTTATGAATTTTTCCTTAACTGTGGATTCCAATGAATATTATATGAAATTAAATGTGTTCATAATGTAGTTACAGGTAAGTTAGCCAAACTTGTACTTCCATTGATATTTACACCTGTAGGTGTCTTGACTTTGTTAATTCTTTTGTATGGAGGCAAGTGGACAGACTTTCACTCTTTTTATCATAATAAAATATACATAACAAAACTTAAACATTTTAAGTGTATAGTTCAGTGACATCAAGTACATTTACATTGTTGTACAACCATTGCCACTACCTATCACCAGAACTTTATTTATGATCCCAAAGTGAAACTCTGTACCCATGAAACAATAACTCTCCATTTCTCCTCTCCCCAGCCCCTGGTAACCACTATTCTGCTTTCTGTCTCTGTGAATTTGACTATTCTGTGTAACTCATATCGTCTGGCTTATTTCATTTAGCATGGTGTTTTTTATTTTCACCTAGCATAAAGTCTCCAGGTTGTAGCATGTGTCAGAATTAAGGCTGAATAATATTACATTGTATGTATGGGGAAAGAGCAAAATACCCTTCCCAGAAGTCTTCTGGTTGGCCTGAGAATTGCATCCAGTGCCCACGCCCAACTGAACTGTCCACCGAGGAGGAGATGGCACCCTGGGATGGGCTTCCCCCAGTCAGGACCCACTCCTTGCAGTGCTCATTTGTGTAGAGCCAGAGGACTAGCTGAGCCAAATCAGAGGGAAGGAAAAAGGCAGACAGCTGTCAGTAGTATCTGCAGTCGTAGTGTTCATTCATCGGGAAAGAGCAAAATACCCTTCCCAGAAGTCTTCTGGTTGGCCTGAGAATTGCATCCAGTGCCCACGCCCAACTGAACTGTCCACTGAGGAGGAGATGGCACCCTGGGATGGGCTTCCCCCAGTCAGGACCCACTCCTTGCAGTGCTCATCTGTGTAGAGCCAGAGGACTAGCTGAGCCAAATCAGAGGGAAGGAAAAAGGCAGACAGCTGTCAGTAGTATCTGCAGTCGTAGTGTTCATTCATTTTAAGCAAAGTTGCAACAGTTAATATCATTTCATACATTTGCATTTTAAAGTCTTTGTGTAAGATAGCCTTTGATTCTCATGAGTTTATCCTTTGATTTTTTTTTTTTTTAAATAATTGCTTTCTTAGATGTTACTAGTTTGAAACTTTAAATTTTTCTTTTATTACTTTTTGCAGGTCATCCGTACTTTAGATCCTAAACAGAATCAAGGAGCAGCACCAGAAATACAAGCTCTTAAAAATCAACTACAGGAACGGGAGCGACTGTTCCACTCATTAGAGGTAGTTTACTGTGCTATGCAATAAAATATTTTTTGATTTTTTATTTTCTGGGAGCCTTGCTATATTTTACAATTGTGTTCATGGATTTAGATAGTTAATTGTAAGTGTTTTATTTATATTGAATTTTTTATATCTTTACATGTTTACATGTGCTTGATTTGTAGAAAGAATATGAGAAAACAAAGAGCCAAAGAGAGATGGAGGAGAAATATATTGTTAGTGCCTGGTACAATATGGTAAGAAAATAGCACTTTAGAATGTAATGCAAAGTGCCATGAATATGTAATATTTATTATAATCCCTTTATTATAGAGGTAGTTCTACGAAATGAATCTGAAAGTAATTGCTGTCCTGATACACACTAACAAAACCTTAATGCTGATCCTAGCACTGAAAAGCAGATGTGAGAACCACCATAAAAAGGGTTAGGGTATTTTGAAAACATCATTATCACTAGAAGATGAAAGGATAAATGTCAGTTTCATTTTGGTTTTGTTTTTTTTTTTTTTTTCACATTTACATTTACTTGTACAGTGTGTTGATTCAATACATGCATATACTGCACAATGACTCACTTAGGGTAGACAGCAGAGTTTTGTACCCATTAGTCCACCCTTTCTCCTCCTCCTGTCCCCACCCAATCCCAGCCTCCTCTCGTAACCATTATTCTACTCTCTTCTTCTATGAGAACCACTTCTTTTTTTTTTTTAGATTCCACGTATGAGTGAGATCATGTGGTATTTGTCTTTCTGTGCCTGACTAACCTCACTTAACATGATGGTTTTCAGTTCCATCCATGTTGCTGCAAATAGGATATCATTTTTTTTTAGCTGAATAGTATTCTGTTGTGTATATATGCCAGTTTTTTTATCCATTCATCCGTTGATGGACATTTAGGTTGATTCCATCTCTTGGCTATTATAAATAGTGCTGTGATGAACATGGGACTGCAGGTGTCTTTTTGATAAATTGATTTCATTTCCTTTGGGTATATACCCAGTAGTGGGTTAGCTGGACCATAAGCTAAATCTATTTTTAGTTCTCTGAGGAACCTCCATTCTGTTTTCCATAGTGGCTGTACCAATTTACTTTCCCACCAATGATGTAGGAGGGTTCCCTTTTCTCCACATCCTCACCAGCATTTGCTGTTTTCTGTCTTGTTGATCATAGCCGTTCTTACTGTGGTGAGATATCTCATTGTGTGTTTTTTTTTTTTTTTTTTTAAGATGACCAGTAAGGGGATCTTAACCCTTGACTTGGTGTTGTCAGCACCACACTTACCCAGTGAGCAAACCGGCCATCCCTATATGGGATCCGAACCCGTTGCCTTGGTTTTATCAGCACCGCACTCTCCCAAGTGAGCCACAGGCCGGCCCCTCATTGTGGTTTTAATTCACATTTCCCTTAGGATTAGTGATGTTGAGAATTTTTTCATGTGCTTGTTGGCTATTTGTATGTCTTCTTTTGAGAAATGTCTGTTCAGTTCCTTTGCCCATATTTTAATTGGGTTATTTGTTTTTGGTGTTTAGTTGAGTTCCTTACATATTCTGATTATTGGCTTCTTGTCTGATATGTAGTTTGCAAACAGTTTCTCCCGTTCTGTAGGTTGTCTCTTCACTTTGTTGACAGTGTCCCTAGCAGTGCAGAAGCTTTTTAGTTTGATGTAGTCCCATTTGTGTATTTTTGCTTTAGTTGCCTGTGCCTTAGCAGTCCTGTTCAAAGAAGTGCTACCCACTCACATTTTGTATAGTGTCTCCCCTACTTTTTCTTTTAATAATTTCATAGTTTCAGGTCTTCGATTTAGATCTTCAATCAATTTTGAGTTGATTTTTGTATATGGTGAAAGATAGGATCTAGTTTCATTCTTCTGCATGTGGATATCCAGTTTTCCCAGCACCATTTGGAAGAGACTTTTCTGGAACCTTTGTTGAAAATCACTTGGCTGTAAGTGTGTGAGTTTGTTTCTGGGCTCTCTGTTCTATTCCATTGGTCTATTTGTCTATTTTTGTCCAGTACCATGCTGTTTGGGTTATTATAGCTCTGTTGTATATTTTGAAGTCAGGAAGTATCTAACCTTAAACTTGTTCTTTTTTTTTCAAGATTGTTTTCACTATACAGGGTCTTTTGTGGTTCCATACAAATTTTAAGATTGTGTTTTCTATTTCTGTTCAAAATGTCCTTGGTATTTTGATAGGAATTGTGTTGAATCTATAAATTGTTTTGTGTAATATGGACCTTTTGATGATGTTAATTCTTCCAACCCATGAAAATGGGATATCTTTCCATTTATTTGTGTCCTCTTAAATTTTTTTCACCAATGTCAGTTTACTTTATTGTAGGGGAGAAAGGCAATAATATCTAAATACAGATACAGTAGCTTTTGTTTTGTGGGACTGTTTCATTACCTTTACAGTATGGTACTTACACCAAGGACATTTAATTATATCTATATTAGAGTTTGAAAAGTGTTCCCAGTGTCAGATCCTAAATAACTGGAAGTTTTGAAATTGATTATTCCAACACAAAAAAACACTTGAAATGTATTGCAGAAGATAAATGTTCATCAACATTCTTGTCTCAATATGAATAGCTGTGGATTTTAAAGAATGCTGTACTTGTCTCAATATTTTTTCCCAGACTTTTTGTCATCTTTTTCATTTTTGTTCTTCTCAGGACTAGTTCTTATGCCCTTTCACAAAATGTTAGTTGTCTGCACAATACCATTGTTTTTGTTTAACAGGTGTAATTAATATTTCCTCTTAATGGGTAGTGCCCCTGGCCTCCTGATTTGATCTCTGTCAAAAATTCATAAATTTCATGACATCTTATGTCCCCATTTATCTTTGCCTTAGTCAAAACTATATATTTAAGATTTTATCCCAGTTTTTTAAAAAAAAGAGGAAATCATATCGGAGTTAGAATACTGTTATTGTTAACAAATGTAGATTTCTTCAAAGTTAAAATTTATAAATAGAAAAAAAGGTATATATTTAATTAAATTATCTGGGAATTAGTTCTGATTGCGTGTATACTGTCTTTTCTCTGTCCTCCTTGAAGCTTAGTATTAGCCATTTGGAGCTCTGCACCTTAATCCTTGCTAGTAATGTCATATTCTTGATTGATTTTTGTTTCACATATTGTGTTTCTTATGGAACCAGATTTATTTACTCTGTGACATGGTACTAAAGAATAGTTCTAACTTTCAGATCTTCAGAGAGTGAAGGAATGACTCCAAGTAGACAGACACAAGTTACATTCAGATAACTAGTAATAGCGTCTTGCTTTTACATTAAGGAAGTTCTGCATATCTGACAACTAAAATGGAAACGAAGGTGATGAGTGCTGGGAAAAGGTGTTAAGTAGCTCGGAAAAGGTGTTAAGTAGCTCAGAAATGGCCTTGTGATGGATACTGAGGTCTTAATAATGTGTGAATAAATTACTCGAAATGGGAAAGTGAAAGAATTTGAATATTTCAAATAAATTGTCATTTAAAAATATGTAGCCAAATCAGTGAATTAAAGATTATCAATAAGTATTTGTCAATTTTATTCAGATTTTTTAATTCTTTGATTTCAAGTTGAGTTAAAAAACATGTTCTGGTGGCCGCCCAGTGTGCAGTGACTGCAAATACCAGCCTCCATGGTAGCATATGCAGTCTGTTGCTTGTATGGGTTGTCCTAAGGGACCTTGGAGACAGCCCTTTCTGATGGACATGTCTCCTACCTGGTGCTCTCCCCAGTCTAGGCTCCAGACAGGTATGTGCGTTGCCTTTGGAAAGCACCAGGGCACAGTGACCAGGGTTCACATTGTCCAAGTCATCATGTACATCCACACCAAGCTGCAGATAAAGGAGCATATGATTGAGGCCCTATGCAGGGCCAAGTTCAAGTTCCCTTGTTACTGACACCAAGTTCAGCCTCCCCCTTGCCACGAAAAAGGGACTCAAGAGTCCCATGTTGATGCAAGGTTTGTAAGCTTTAGTCAGGAAGCACAACCTGGGAGACAAGCTGAACTGTCTCAATGGATCAGAAACCTCAGCAAGGGTTTTTAAAGGGAAAAATGTGGGAAATAAAGGGGGGAGATTATTAGGGCCTGCTAAAAGCAATCTTGCAGCCTCCAAGCTATTCATGTTCTCATGGTCAGTCTTGTAACTCTTCAACTTATCCTTGGAACGGGGTTTGTTCCATGGTTCCCACAAGTTGGATGCTGTCTTGTTCTGGACAGCTGTGACTCCATAGGAAGAATGGTTAGTTCTGCAGGTTACCAATTAGCCCTTATTATCTTGCTTTTCTTAAGTGCCAAGGTCTGCAGTGTTTTCCCATGAGCAAAGTTACAAAAAGACTTCCTTATGGCTAGCATTCTGCTTAAAGCTGTATTTTACAAAATGGTTTTTCTAAGACTAATTGTCTATGGCTATTTGCTATAGGGGGCTCTTATACCCTGGCTGCCAAAAGATCCATATCTCTGAGATGTGGGAGTTTACCAAGTTTAATGCAGATAAATTTGAAGTCATGACAGATGAGAAGCAGCTCACCCTGGATGGTTGTGGAGTTAAATACATCCCAACCATGGCCCCCTGAACAAGTGGGGACCCTGCACTCGTGAAGGCATCTACTGTGCTGCCCCTCTTTATTCATACCCACTAATAAATCCTACTTCCTGTACACCTGAAAAAGATGTTCTGGTTTTTTCATTGGGAAAATGTTATGTATTTGAAATTATATTAAAAATGCAAAGCCGTGACCAGTGTTTTCCCTAGAAGCCAACTGGTGACAGGAAGATTCATCCTCTAGTCTCCCGTCTCCTGTGCATCATTCATTTCACTGCAGGAAAGCGTACTCCTCTTCACCTGACTTTGCTTTTGCCTCTCAGTTGCTTATTTCTTCCTTGTTGTCAGCTTCCACTTCTTCCAATCAGTTTACACTTATCCGGTCACTCGTGAGATTAAACAGCAGCTCTCAGTTCTTAATGTTTCTCTGTCTAGGGGTCTTCACTGGCTTATCAAATGCATACCAAAACTGTGCTTTCCTGGTCTTCTGTAGACTTCTGCCTTGAGGAGAGAAGTGTTACGATTGTCCTCCTTATTCCTCCACATTCAGGGGGTTTCTGGGAGGCCTCGGCCCTCCTGTTAAGGTGCTCTGGGCCCAGCAGTTGTGCCTCTTCCCTTTTAAGCTAGTAGGTGAGCCTTCTCCTGTCTTCAAGAAAGAACCCCTTCTGTTGTGGGCTGTCAGGAACTTTTCTTAACTTGTTTGAGAAAACAAGTCTGCCTTGAAGTGAAGAAAAACAGCATGGTGGTATGTATAATACCTACTGTGGTTTTCCACCTTAAGAAACAACAAGTGCATTTGTGCTTTTCCACTCTAAATGAACCCTGTGATTTGTACAACACATGTGAATCAACTGCTGTCAATCACTTGCATTTTTTGTCTTGGAAAATTACTTCATACATTTCATTTGAAAGGGAAGTATGATTGAGTATGCATAATGTATTCCAAAAATCTATCTCCTTTTTGTTTTGAATATTGTAAAAGGGAAGTATGATTGAGTATGCATAATGTATTCCAAAAATCTATCTCCTTTATTGTTTTGATTATTGTAAATTCAGAAAATTAAGCCTTAATTTTTCCAAAGGAATATTTGTACCTAATTGTTGAAACTGAAATGCCTTTATAAAATAAGATTTTAATCTATAATAAATAGAATGAATATTTGTAATTGTGCTTTGTGGTGTGATGTAACAAATTCTGCATGATGAAATTTTCTTTCGCAAGAATGCCACTATTTTTTCATTGATAACTTTTTTTTTTTTTTAATGTTATAGGGAATGACTCTGCATAAAAAGGCAGCTGAAGACAGACTGGCTAGCACAGGGTATCTTTCGCAAGAATGCCACTATTTTTTCATTGATAACTTTTTTTTTTTTTTAAATGTTATAGGGAATGACTCTGCATAAAAAGGCAGCTGAAGACAGACTGGCTAGCACAGGGTCAGGGCAGTCATTTCTGGCTAGGCAAAGACAAGCAACCAGCACAAGAAGATCTTATCCGGGCCATGTTCAACCAGCCACAGCAAGGTAGAGGAGTCTTAGAAATAAAAAGCAACCTGCACTCAAAGCATACTTCTGTTACATATAACAACATTTCAGGAAATTCAGCCAGCTTATTTTTTGTTTCTCTTCCATGTTAGTATTTAGTGTTTCTTGTTTGAGGACTTTTTCTCTCTCCTGTATCTTTGTTTTAGTTTCTTTGTTCTTTATTTGTAGTCCTTTCAGTTCCTTTTAATGTGCCAAAAATTTGTAAATGTCCAATTAAAGGTGGTGTTATGATAGTGTTTTACTCTTCTTTGTATGAAAATGTCCTCTTCCCCAATGGTGTAGGCTTTGTAATTAATTAGATTTTCTGCCAATAATTGATATACAATTTATATTCTTTATTGTGCCTATGTGTTACCATGCTTTATAAGAATGTCTTTGTTTCAAGGGAATTAATCAGTGTTTTCAATTGTTTTCCAAATGCACTTCAGATAACTTGCATATTTACTATACAGAATGGTGAACAAGTGCACTTTTGCAAAGATGTGCGTCCATTGGCAGAAGTGATCAGATCTTACCAGGGCACCTGGTAGAATTATTTAGAGGAAAAAATGAGTTTTCATATTGTTTTATAGGAAATTAAATTTGTCTGACAATTTGGAGACTATTTCTAAAACATAAATATGTAAAATTCCATCATTTCCTGTTATAGTATTTGCTGGCAGAAGTGAATGCATTGGTGAGGTTATTTTGGGGGAAATTACAGAAGAAGAAAATCAGGCAGTGTGTTAATGTTTTATTGGTTTTTTGGGAATATGTTAGTAACTGAAGATCAGATTTTAGCAATGTGGTTGACATTTATACTTTCAATAACTCTCCACATCTAAAAGATTTATTTTTTATATATTTACAAGTAATAGGTACCTTTACCTTTTGGGCAATTTATTGACTTGCACTTCATTTGCTTTACTTATTTCTTAATATATAGACCCTTCCATTTCTCAGTAATTCCTAATTCTTAGCATCTTCATATTAGTCACTAAGATCAATAAGTAACTTCTTGTATGTAATGTTATAACAGGTCTCATTACATTTTTTTCTTAACTCTATCTACTAGTCCAGGAATTTGTTACTGAATAGATTTTCTTGGGTATTTAGTTGCTTCAAAGTGCTTATATTCATTAACAGATTTAAACTATGTTTATTTACATTTATGAATGGCTGTCAAGTAATCTTTCTAAAGCACTTTCTTTATATAAGGTGCTATATAAATACAAAATATCATTCATTTGAAAATGAAATGCCTTCTAATTTTCCATATATTTGAGTATTTGGTCCCAAATTATATTTGTTTCCCTTTAACCTTTTTCTTGCACCATAACCTGTTTTGTAAAAGCAAAATATTTCTGAAATTAAGTCAATTTTGTTTGCTTGTTTTTTGGGTGGCTGGCCAGTACAGGGATCGGACCTTGGATCTTGGTGTTAACAGCACCACACTCTAATCAACTGAGCCAACCAGCCAGCCCTTGTTTGTTTTTAGATAGATCACGTAGTAAGAGGATGTTATTTCATGTACTTGCTATTTGGAAGTTCGGGTTTCATTTAGTTCTGTACATTAAATACAAATAACTAACTTTAAATCAAGTTAAACATAATTATGAATTTTCAGAAACTATTCAAGTGTTTGATTTTAAATCCATACTTCCTTTTTTATAAGACAGTTGACTGAAAAATTAGTAGTGCTTTTATTTGTCCTTAGAAATTGCACTTGAAAGGTATTAGAATATACACAGAAATAACTCCATGTATTGTGCTCATTTTTTACATTAAGTACAGATGTCTGAGCACAGTATGAACACTTCTGCCTGATAAGTTCATAAAACAGCAAGAATTAGTAATAATGGAGAGAGCCATGTAAGTAGAATGCTTGTGGGGTTTCAGGAGACCTATTAGCAGACCTAATATACATATTCTTGACCAAAGTTTTGACAGTAAAAGATTAAAAACTATATTTGATGGTCCTTACCCCCACCCTTATTTTACAATAGCGTAAGGATTCAGCTGTTTTTAAAACAAATTAGGACGTGAACATTAACCTTAGTAAAATTAAAATTATTGGGAAGTTAAAGAGAGATCTCTGCAAAATAAGAGATGAAAACAAGAGTCTGTGAACTACACATTAAATTATATTCTGTGAGATGTGCAGTTTTAATTTTTGTTCTCCATTTACTGCCTCAGTCCTGGTCTCCTATCCACTTACCTATCCAGATATTTTTCTCTAAATGGGTTGGAAAGGTGCCAAGGTTTTAGAAGAATTTTTCTTCAGCATCTATTATATGCTATTTATTTTGATGTTTACATTTATAACTTTCATTCTCCTTTACTGTACTTCTAACGTTTAGTATGTAACTTTCATTACGTAGAAGAAAGTGTATTTCTAAACATTTTGAGATATTTAAAAACAAAACAGGCTTTTATGAGAAATAACATCTGAATATACTTTAGGTGTCAGAAAGCCAAGACTAAAACTTAACTCTAACAGTGGCAACTCTGTTTCCCTGAGTTCAGCTTTGGACAGGATTTGTGATATTTCTATTTCTCCAGGAATGATTATTAATGTCTCAGGAGGTTTGTGATGATACGTGGTCTATCTGGAAGTTACAAGACATGAGGAGCTTTATCTAGATGTGAGTGATGCTGTGCTGTATGTTCACAAATTCCTTTTGTACAGTAGCTTCACAAAGCCACCGTTGGCCTGTGCGGTGGAGCTGGTGCCAGCATCAGCAGCAGAGTGAGTGCAGCATTATTACATTAGATTGGGATTAGCTGTCACCACAGTGTCTGACTTCTTACAAACAGAGCTATTTTCTGTTTTCCTTTTAACCAGGGTAAGAAAATACAAAGTAAATAACTAAAGGAGATTAAAACAGAGCATTTATGTTCCACAGTGTGTATTTAAGAAATTTGTAACAGGAAAAGAATTCAGCAAATATAGTAGCTTATCGCATCTGAAAAGAGAATAAGTAATACAACTGTATATATTTTAAAAGAAATTTCAAAAACTTGGTTATATGTTTACCACTTGTCTAATTACTTCATAATAATCAAGAAAAAGATGTCCCTAAATAAAGGACCCATATTCCAAAATTTATCAAGATTGAATTATTTCTATTAGATATCCTTTACCCTGGTAAAATTTAGCTCAATGAGATGATTAAATAAAAATAATATTGTAGTCTGTAATTTTGCTGAGGTTTTATTGTTTTATATATAATAAATATATAAATATAATAAAAGCTCAGTTGTACAAAATTAAGGTAAATGTTATTCAGTTATAAACATCAGCCTATATATTTCATTAAAGTTCACAAAGGAATGAAATTCCACGTTGTGCAAATGGATCAGTAGTGAGTGATTGTTAAGTGAAAGATGAGTTAGGTGGAGGAAAAGACTTATTTATGAGCTGTTTTACTCACATGTTTTTCAGAAGTGGTTTGGTTTATTCTTGTTAACTAAGTAATGATATGAAATATTTTTGAGTGTGTCTTGCTCCCACACAAGCATTCGTCTATTGTTCTAATGATAACACCATATTAAAAACTTGAAAATATTTATTTCAATATAAGAATTTTCTTGAAACAAAAATCTGAATTTTTAAAAATTCTCTTAACTCTCTGCATTTAATCTTCAATTGTCCAGATCTCAGACTCCAGGAATGTTACAATTTTCCCCAGTTGGAACATGAGAGATTTATCTGGAAAAGCATCCACAACTCACAGCTAGTGGAAACCTAGCTAGTTACAGCCATGTGGATAAGGACATCTTTGATCCTAAAGGGACAGGAAAGTGCTTGGCATGTTGCTTTTTGCCAAGGGCAAAATGGCAACCTTAAGACAAAATGCTTTTTGTTGTCTATTTTATGAAACTATGGAAGAAATTTTTACTATTATTCTTACATTATGAAGGATGAAAGAGTGCACTGAATGAAATAAAATGGAATATCAGAATCTTTGAAAGTTATTTTATCATATTTTGTATTTTTCCCTTTTTATAAGCTAAAAGGGTTTTCCATTCAATATAGGTAATCTCTTTTTCTGTAGTCCTATCAGAATGGCAGCTTATTTTGGTAGTTATCCAACCCAGTTTTATTACATTTAGAAAGAAGTTCCAGAGCTTGTTCTTTGTAGCTACACTGATTTGAATATTTTATATCATGAAGTTTTTATATGAGGAAGGCTATTCTTAATGTTTTTGTCTTCCAATTTTTTATTTTCTATAAAGAATATTTAAATAATTGGTGTATGTTCCTTTTATTGAAAATTTTGAAAATGGCATATTGTCCAATTTTAGCACAATAATGTTCTAAAGTTTTGCAATATATACACAATTCAGTTCTCAGAAGCCTAAAAAACCTAAATTATTTTGTTGCTGACACGGCTAATTTCTGTGCCTCCCCATACCCTGAAATTATGGAAGTATTAATATTTAGCTTCTTTTCTATAAAGTGAAGGACACCACAAATGTGGCAGCAGCCATCTTTTTTTTTTTTTTTTTTTTTTTTTTTAAAGATGACCGGTAAGGGGATCTTAACCCTTGACTTGGTGTTGTCAGCACCACACTCAGCCAGTGAGCGAACCGGCCATCCCTATATGGGATCCGAACCCGCGGCCCTGGTGCTATCAGCACCGCACTCTCCCAAGTGAGCCACAGGCCGGCCCATGCAGCCATCTTTTTTAAATCACTGACTATGTTCCTGGGAAGTACATACTGATTATTTTATTTATTTATTTATTTTTTTCTTAAAAGATGACCGGTAAGGGGATCTTAACCCTTGGCTTGGTGTTGTCAGCACCACGCTCAACCAGTGAGCGAACCGGCCATCCCTATATGGGATCCGAACCCGGGACCTTGGTGTTATCAGCACCGCACTCTCCCGAGTGAGCCACGGGCCGGCCCTGATTATTTTATTTTTAAATAGCCTTTTATCAATCCAATCCATATGTATTATTTTTATGAATATAAAAACATAAAGTTTATATTTAATGTTGCATTAAAACATGAGTACCCTTGGATTCTTCATGTTGCACAGAAATGATAGAGAAGGGGCATTCGTTTATTTGAAAAACAAGAGACCTGAACCTAATTATGGCAAGTATCTGAGTTTTAGCAATTGTGAGAGATCCATGAATATTTCCTAAGAAATGTATGTATGCATATTATGTATACACACATATATACACATCAGGAATTACATGGTGTCTCTCTTCGGTATTTTTTGGTTTCCCTGTGTTTTCCAGTAATATTCTAGTATTAATATTCAGTAATTTCCAGTAAGATTGGGTTTGCATGCTATATATAAGTGAGAATACAAATCTAAGAGAGTAACAGAAGGCTAATAAGGCAAATCCATTCCTAGAGAGTAGAATGGATTACTGGGATAAGAAATGGCCTA